CCTTTCATGAAACATATCTCGTATATAGTGTGCTAACTAGCGGTATTAGTATCGCCTGAAGGCCTATAAAACTCTTCAAAACACTTCATTTGCCAAATAGGCACTAACCTACGCCCAACCGAAGCCAATATAAATATCCTTTGCCAGATAGGCACCAACCTACGCCTGACCGAAACCAATATATGTATCATCTTTAGTAGGCAAAACAGTGACCACTAGATACGCACAAAAACATTGAATATAGTCTTTCCAAACATAGGTACATATATCTCAAAACATCTTCATAGCATATAGTCATCCATCATATATACTACAAAGAAGAGTGCAAAAGCATGTTAATAAATAATATATAGTCATCCATCATATATACTACAAAAAACATCATTTCGATAAAATATGGTATTCCAAAATATTCTCAGTAAGTATAATATCTCATAAAACGTAACCATTAAATCATGATTTTCAGGTATGCATTTCTACTATTAAAACATGTATTTTAGAAGGGGTCCACTCACAGATACTTCGTCGTCGTAGAGTCGTACAAACTAGCCGGAACGGAAACGCCGCTAATAATTGCACCTAAGCACATAAAGGGTCCAATTAACAAAACTATACTCAAACTATTGAATTTCGAAAAACGGAAGTCATAAACAGATCCAGGACATCGAATTACCCTAAGAAGGGTCCCGGGTAAATTTCGTAAAAGTCAACAAAAAGTCAACAAGAGAATATTCCATCAGGTTGTGCTTGGGTCAACAGCCAGGTTGGGTGTAGGGTTAGGTTTAGGTGGGTTGGGCTTAGGATAATGGGTTAATGGGTTAAGGTTTCTAATTTAACATGGGTTATATTGGGTTTGGCTTGAAAGCCCAGCCCAAGTGCTTGGGCTAAGTCCTGATTTGGGTTGGCTTAAAAGGGTTTTGGGTTTGCCAATTGGGCATGTTCTATGGCCCAATACCCGAGTTAAGGTTTTGCAAATATGTGTTTGGGTTTAGATAAGGCCAAGGGCCTTAGGTTTAGTTTTGGGCTGGCCCAAGGATCTTTGGGCTTAACATGTTATGGAGTTGAGTTGCCCAAAAGGGCTAGGTTCCATGGCCATGGGTCGGCTGGTCTCGCCGAAGAAGAAAGTCGGAGCCTCCAAGCTCCGGACAACCCACAACTTAACTAAACTCATCAACCCATATACCAAAATGAAGCTACGGATGAGGGGAAGAATAATATACAGCCAAAGAAGAAAGCCGGAGCTTCCAAGCTCCGGTCAACCCATAACTCAACTAAACTCATCAACCCATATACCAAAATGAAGCTACGGAGGAGGGAAATAATAATATACCGCTAAAGAAGAAAGCCGGAGCCTCCAAGCTCCAGTCAACCCACAACTTAACTAAACTCATCAACCCATATACCAAAATGAAGCTACGGAGGAGGGGAAGAATAATATACCACCAAAGAAGAGAGCCAGAGCCTCCAAGCTCCGGTCAACCCATAACTCAACTAAACTCATCAACCCATATACCAAAATGAAGCTACTGAGGAAGGGAAGAATAATATACCTATCACGAGGCCAATCGTGGCCGCAAAATGGCCTGCAGCACACGATTCAGTCGCCGAAAAATGGGGAAAGTTTCCCCCGAGCTGTTCTGCGTTTAACCAGTGTACACAACATCAAACCTACCGTAAACTAACCTTAAAACACACCCCACAAGGTTTTAGAGTCTTACCCTTGGCCGTAGACGGCGAAACACGTCAGGGAAGGTTGCATAGCGATGGGAAAGAGAGGAGCTTGGGGGGAAGGGCTCCTCCATTGATCCTGGATTTCGTGGGATTTGCAGAGGATGTAGGGAGGGGTGAGGTGATGGTGGTGCAAAGAAGGGGGCTCGGGGAGCTTAGGGGAGAAGGAACGAAACATGGGGAGGGGAGAGTGAGGTCCGAGAGAGAGTTTCGGGGAGAGAGAGAGAGAGAAAAGAGAGAGAGAAGATAGAAGAAGAGGGAAAGAGAAAGGACTACCATGTGGCAGCCATAGGGGAAGGGATACCGGGGAACCAAAAAGAGAAAAGGGGTCTCACCAGGCTCACCATTTAAGGTCCCAAAAGCAATTCCAAAATAAAAAATATCCCTTTTCGTGAAATTACAAAATGCCCTCCCGATTCAAAATCCATTTAATTAATTGGGACGGGTTGTTACATTGTTCAACCCAAAATCTAGGATTGTTGTTTTTATGGTTTTAAAGGATCAAGATTGGAGGAATTTAAGTGCTTTAGTTGAAGAAGGAAACTGTACATATTCATGTATGACCCATATTGCTTCCTCTCTTTTTCACCTATCTGATCCATTGAGAGTTTGATCTCCACCATCACTAATATCCATATTTGCTGCCATTGTACACACAGACACATACTCACATATATAGTTTCTTATTCTTCTTAATTAATAGTTATTTGAAGTAATAATATTGGTGTGTGTGTGTGTGTGTGTGTGGAACTTACAACCTAGAGTGAGAGTGAGCAACTGTTGTGAAATGGCCCAACCTAAAATTCATTCGCAAATCTAGTTTATAGAAAATCTTGGCAAACTGTCCCTATTGCCTTCCCCTGCCTTTCTTCTCTAAAGAAGAAAAGAGTGTTAGACTAAAAGCTAAGCATTTCAATGCTTTTCTGATTGTATCCTAATATAACCAGTACTACTACTTCCCTTCAGCCTTTTCAGTTGTCATTGAATGGCATAGCGTTTTGCGATTTATCTCTGAATCTTGCCAATATCTTAGTTGCTTGGATTTCTCAGAAACCCCTTATGTGATGAACCATATGAAAAGAATCGGTTTAAATCAAATAACTGTGAAATAAACTTATCGAATATTGACTCTTATCAATCGGTATTTTCTATAGGTGGCATGATGGGACAATCCCATCAGAGTTCCATCGTGTTTGAAGTGGGCTCCTCCCAAAGCCATGTTTGTTGTATGATATTCAAGGTTTATTTTCTGATGCAATTGCTATAGCCTATACACATTAACCACAAAATTTATTTAAAAATCATTATTATTGGTTTTTGCATTATTTGTAAAGAAATATCCATTCCCTTCTATGCTTATAATGTTTTATGTAAGGAAAACAAGCAAGTTGGGAAATATTTGTGTCCCTTAAAAAATTATGATTACTAATTTATTTCCCTTATTTCAATGTGAATGCAACTACATAAAATATACTTAACTAATGGACAGGACCTAGCGTTTGGCTGCGATAAAGTTTTGGTTGGTAAGGTCCTCCTGCGACTCATATGAATCAGTTGTAAAGTGATTTTAGTGTTTGTATTTCATCTTTCAAGCATTATCTGAATTGCTTGAGTGCTTGAGTGCTTCAATGTTTGAATTAGATATTTCAAATTGTATGTGAATTGTAGCCGATTAGGGAAAAATTTATTAAAATGTAATGGATGCCTTTTGGGTAATAATGCATATCAAGACCTTTGAATCTGTTGATTCAGATGTTTGAACACAGTTGAAACTCACTATGTTGTTTTTACAGTTTGATTATGAATTGTTAATTAGAGTTGGCTAATTTTGTTACTAAGAGTTTAGGGCCAATTAACAAATCTATTGAGTGATTTGTAAGAGTCTAGAAGCAAACCTTTTGGAGAAGTTGAACTTATTCAGATAAACTGATAAAATTTGACTATCCTGGCCAACATGTTTTTTTGACTATTGACAATTTCTCAACCATATTTATTGATTGCAAGAACTAATTGCATTTGAAACCCGCAACATCGTGCAGACAATTTTTGCTACTTCTAAATTAAAATTATGGACGGTTTGGATGATTGACAAAAGTTGTAGAGTGAGCTACACAAGTGCCAACTTACACAAATGATTCATGGCCGCCGAGACATTCAAATCAAGTATATAATATGTGATGAACCCATCTTATGTTAAGTTGCTCTCCACATTAACAAAAGATTGGTGCTATACCGATCTACTGTCTTATCTCCCCACCCACCTTATATTTTCACTCATCATAAAAAGGTGAAAAAATTTGATAAACTCTTTCCCCACATACCGTTATCCTCAAATAGTTCTTCTTCAAATTTTCCTTAATATAAAAAAATTATTATTATTTAAGAAAAAAGAACAATTATCATTAAACAAATTACTCAGCAACTCCAAATATAACCAGGAGAACAGAGATATTTTTACCTTTTTTTTCAGTAAACTTTGTAGAAGTAGAGTATGATTGAAGTGTACAAGTAATCCTTTAAAGGGATGCGGATAAATAGGTCAATCAAACCATAAACGAAGAATAATAAGTTAATTATCTTGCCTTAAAAAAATAGCAGAATTCTTTCGGCCATTCCAAGAGCACTTTCTCATATCCTCATGAGTCGGATAATATTATATTATTTCCGATGATTGTATTAGTTTTATTTTGTGTTAATCGCTAGAGTCATAGGAATCCATTTCTTCAACCAGGAAGGAATAGATTTGGATATATTATCCAAGGACATTGCCCCCTTGAGTGAACAATAGAACGGCTTTGTATAGAAACCCTTAACCCGTGTTCGTTCTCTACTAGGCTCACCATTATTTCATTCTATTTTTGAATTCAAGCTCATAAGAATATGTATGGAGCTATGTCAACTTGTGTACATCTTGCTCACCAAAAAAATTTCTAGAACCGTCGCTACTAACACCCCCAAATTCTCAGCCAACCGCACCACCTACCCACAACACCCAGCGTCCATCTTCAGTCGCCAACCATCGCAGCATCATCATGTCTCGAAAACAGCTCTGTATCCAATCTCTATCGTTTCCCAATCTAAATTCAGACCGCACAGGAGAGATTTGATAAGCAAATAAAGTTCAGTGATCGTCACTTAGTACTACAATCTAGTATTTCTCTTCATTTGTAATTGAGAGGTTTTTTTGAAAAAAACGATATTATCTACCCTAGGAGGAAGGGTTATTAACCTTTTAGCACATATATATTATTATTTGTATACGCAATGTACCGGTCTCTCGCAAATTGAAATACTTTCCAAAACCCAATTGGAAAGGATAAGAAACAAGGCCACCCGCCTTCCGGTCCTCTTTCTCACTCAACCCAAAAAAACCATATAGCCATGTCAATCCTTTCCATTTCATCACCTTCTTCTTCCTCCGCTCTCTTCCCCAATGTCTCCTTCTCCTCCAAATCCTCCTCATTCCTCACCCCGCCGCTCCAAATCGCCACCCCATCGCTCGCCGTCGCAAAAAACCATAAAAACCAACCGACGGGAATAACCATGAGTATGGAGGCCGGCATTGGAGTTATGGCCACGAAGCTCGGCATGATGAGCTTCTTCGAGCCCACCGGCAAAGTCGTCCCGGTTACCATCGTGGGTTTCAAAGAGGGCAACATCGTCACCCAGGTCAAAACCCAGGCCACCGACGGTTACGACGCCGTCCAAATCGGGTACCGGCGGGTCCGTGACCGGAAGCTAACGAAGCCCGAAATGGGTCACCTCCAGAAGGCCGGCTCGATCCCCCTCCGCCACCTCCAGGAGTTCCGGCTTCAAGACGTCCAAGGGTTCGAGCCGAACCAGAAGCTCTTGTTCGATGAGCTTTTCAACGAGGGCGACATTGTCGACGTCTCTGGAACCACAATCGGAAAGGGGTTTCAGGGAGGAATCAAGCGGCACAATTTCAAGCGGGGGCAGATGACCCACGGGTCCAAGAGCCACAGAGCTCTCGGGTCTATCGGTGCCGGAACCACGCCGGGGCGGGTTTACAAGGGGAAGAAGATGCCCGGCAGAATGGGAGGAACCAAGACCAAGATTAGGAAGCTGAAGATTGTGAAGATCGATAAGGAGCTCAATGTTGTGATGATCAAAGGCGCTCTGCCTGGTACGCCCGGAAACCTTCTCCGCATTGCTCCTGCTAAAATTGTGGGGAAGAACATTCCCAAGAGTTAGTTTGATTACCTTTTTTGTTTAAGTGGTTTCGGTTTAGTGAATTTTTGTATCGACATTGACTCGTATGAATGTTAGCTAGTGTTTTGTGAATTTATGGAAGTAGTTCACTTGATAGGAGCAAGAATAACTGGTTTTGGTTGACTTGAATGTTAGATGGTGGAAATATGATGCTAGTCTTTTGTGAAACTATGTTTGAGTTCATGAACGCTGTTTGCGGAATTTGTGATAGAAAGCAACAATTTTTGGCTTTTGGACGAATTGAGTACTCTTCGATAAACTAGGAAATCGACTAAAGAGGTGTTGTCTGTTTTTGTTTTGATTTGTATCATTTGTGTCAATGATATGGCTACAATGCTACAATCATATAATTTCACATGTTTGTTTAGAGCTTATTGCAATAACTTCTTTGCTGTCCATATTGAACTGTTCTTCCCATGTTCGTTTCTGGTCATTGTCCTCCGTAACTTATTAGTTCTGATTTGTACTTAATTAGTGCCAATGGAAGTTTGTTTCTACTTTCTTGTGAAAAAAAGGCATTCATTTATTATTGGTTAAATTGGAATGACTTAATCTAAATCATTTGGGGTTGAGGAAGGCTACTCTGTTGGGTGAGTTGGGTGAAGAGAGGTTAATCTGAACTGGTATAACGAATAGCAAGATTTCGAATCTGTGTAGACTTCTTGGAAACTTGTTATTTGGTTCATAGGTAGTTTCTTGGATAAGACAGCCGTGAAATGATAACCTGCAAAGGTCCCGATAAAATCATGGAACTGAGATAGTCCCCTGAGGTAAAGCTATATGGGTTACATCAACATATTCTGGTGGATGTGGATGGGTGGTGAGTCCTAATCCTTATCCCTTTCTTCACTTTACTCCCTTGTCACTTTATTTAGTCCTAGGGCTAGGGGTTTTCGTGGGTACATATTTTGGAATTGTTCCTCCCGAGCGACAAAAAGCGCGCCAGTGAGAGCCTTTTTTGTTCACGTTAAGATTAAATGCATTGGAAGTGTGGATGAGAAATACGTGGGGTGGTGAGCGGTTGGATTCACTCCTGCATACAGTTGCTCACGCTTTGTCATTTGAGCAAAACCGCCAATTTGGGAAGAGATAAAAGGTGTTCTTTGTGATGTATGATGTGAAATGTAAGATTTTAGTCTCAAACTGTATGCAAATGTTAGGCCAGAAAGGAACAAAACACGAAAAACTGCAACAACATGCCCAACATCACACAAAGCTCATCTCATATGGTGAGGAGAAGATGTTTGTCAGTACATCTCCATAGTCTAAACAAAACATGTTTAGCATTTTATTTTAGATAAACAAACTGCAGCTTGATTGTTTTGGAGGACTTCAACAGAGTACGCAGAAGTTGCGTCTTCCTAACAGAGGCGCCTGCAGAGGGTGAGTCCATCCCCAACGGAAAGATGAGCCAATTCAATACGAGAATCAGCAGCTAGAAAGCTGTTCAACTCCAAGATATGTTTTCTGTGTGGTCTAGCTTGTTCATCTAGTTTCTCCTCCGGCTCCACCACTGAGCCGAACCATAACGTGTTATCGTACGCGATCATTCCACCAACCTTAACAAGCTTTAACAGTAGCTCATGATATTCCATGTACTTATCCTTGTTAGCATCCACAAATGCAAAATCAAAGCTCCCGTCTTCCTCCCCCTGCATATTTGTTTAAAATTTCAATTCTCTAAGCTAATAGAAGCGTACAACCCAGATGTCGTTAGTTGAGATGTTACAAATAGCAGCATTCGTATATTGATCTTGTAGGCTTCAAACTGCGAATCTTGCAACGTTATAAACTTACACTGGAAATGAGATCATTTAGGACTGAGAAGGCATCCGAGTGGAAGAATTTAATCTTATGATTCACTCCAGCCTTCTGAATGAACGGCAATCCAAACTCGTAAGCTTCTTTATTTGGATCGATTGCTGTAATCTGAAATTTTTTTTTACAAACACCATAACTAATTATAAGTGTTCATCCAGCTACATCAAATTTTTATACCAACGATATTCTATTTTAAAGAAATTTAAACTGCGGAAAGAGCGATATTCGAATTTGGAAGATTAAAGTAAAGAGAATACTTTGCCATCAAGGGGCAGTGCAAGAGCAGTTGTGAGAAGAGAATAGCCAGTAAAAACTCCGAGCTCCAGTGTCTTCTTTGCATTCATGAGTTTTAGAAGCATTGAGAGGAAAAGTCCTTCATCAACAGGCGCATTCATTATACTCCTGTGCTCCAAAATGTAACTTTTGAGATTAATTAAGGGTCATTTTGGTTTCGGCTTCTAATCAACTTAATTGTTAGACAAAAACCTTATTTGATTAAATATTTTGATTGAGGTCCTTAACATTATTTAAGATATTTAACTCATGCATTTATGCGTTTAATGTATCACAAATTATGAAATTTAAATAAATTCAAATACTATTTTTAAAATATAATAAATAATAGAATAATATTGTTCTTCACAAAATTATAGCAAAGAAAATAATGTACCCACATAATTATTAACATATTTTAAAAAATAACTATTGATATTTTTTAAAACATAAAATAAAAACATACAATTAGCATGGGTACATTTAGTAAAATTAAAAATGGGTACAAATAAATTTAAAAAAAATATGGGTACAAATACAAATAAAACTTAAAATGTGACATCCCACATCGCCCAGGGGAGTGATCCTTATATGTATATTTTCATCCCTACCTAGAACGAGGCCTTTTGGGAGCTCACTGGCTTCGGATTCCATGGGAATTCCGAAGTTAAGCGAGTAGCGCGCGAGAGCATTCCCTGGATGGGTGACTTATTGGGAAGTTCTCGTGTGAGTTCCCAAAAACAAAACCGTGAGGGTGTGCTAGGGGCCCAAAGCAGACAATATCGTGCTACGGTGGAGTCGGGCCTAGGAAGTGGTCCCGCCCGGGCCGGGATGTGACAATTGGTCCTGGCCCGGGGGGGGACCACTTCCTGGGCCCGCTCCACCACCGTAGCACAATATTGTCTGCTTTGGGCCCCAGCACACCCTCACGATTTTGTTTCTGGGAACTCATAGGAGAACTTCCCAATGGGTCACCCATCCTGGGAATGCTCTCGCGCGCTACTCGCTTAACTTCGAAGTTCCCATGGAATCCGAAGCCAGTGAGCTTCCAAAAGGCCTCATACTAGGTAGGGATGAGAATATACATATAAGGATCACTCCCCTGGACGACGTGGGATTTCACATAAAAAATATGGGCACAAAAAGAAATTAATATATGGGTACAAATTAAAAGTGAAATGAAAATTGGTACATATAAAAAAAAAAGGTTGCAAATTAAAAATGTGTACAAAATAAAAATAAAAATATATGATAAAAAATTTAGCCATAAATATAAATATACCAAATGAAATTATCAAATGTAACATTTCTAACACTAAATGAATGTATTTAGAAATAACAAATATTTTATTATTGAAATAATTAATGACGTTTATTAATACCTACGGACTTTGATAAAAAAATTGAAAAGAAATAAAGTTTTAATCAATGAAATAGCTAAAAAAGGGATGTGAACCTAATTTCTTCTTGATTTAATTTGGTAAAGGCCTCATTTGTGTAAAGGGTGGCTTCATTGTATAAAGGGTGCCTCACTCATTTTTAGATATATTTTATTAGAGTTGTAACTTTATTGTGCTAAGAAATTAAACTTTTGTACTACTATAAATAAAGAAACAACGAGTTGTGAAAACACACTTAGGAATTCACCCAATTCTCTCTACACTTGCCACACCCTCTCTCTCAATCTCTCTGTTGTTGTTCAGTCAAGTAAGTCTACAACATGTTATCAACACACTCAGTGAAGTATTGCGTTCTAATCATTATTATTGATTTTTTATTTTATTTTATTGTATGCTCAACATGCTATTAATTCAATTTAATTTTTCTGTGTTGAACGTGATACAACACATTAAAGGTGCAATTTTGACTTTTCGAAAAGGATTTTCTACAAAGAAACCCCTAGTAATCAAGTTTCGTAGTTTTTGAACAGTTCAATAGTAGTGTTGGAGTATTGCTTTTTCAACAATTGAATATAAAATTCCTAATACGCCCTCTCTCTTAGTGTAAATAATATTGTTTGTTCAAAAGAAAAATTTGCTTTTTTGACACTTAAAATTCTTAGTATGACCTCTTTTATTGATAATATCGTTTGTTCAAAAAAATAAATAAATAAATAAAATTCTTAGTGCGTACTTTAAAAGTTCTTTGCCCAAACATAAGTCTTCAAAATTATTGTAAATATGTAACATATACATTGAACATACCAGAACTGGTATTTCTCGACAGTGGCTTCCCTTAATTGCTTCAACTGCTCGTGCTCTCTTGGGTAGCAGCTTGTTTCAAGGATGTACTGCAATGATACAAGAAAATAAAGCTAATATATTTATCTTGTGAAGAAAAGTAAATCATGTAACTTCAACCTAAAAATATATAAAATGTAAAACATTTATTTATATTCTAGCCTTTAAACTGGTGTTTGTGTGTGTGTTGGGGGAAGAGGGTTTTTGGGTGCAACAGGCTTTTCCTCTTCAAGAGAAGGTTGGTATTTCATACACAACTATTAATAAAACACTAATCTCGCATAATCCTTCTTTATAGACCTTAGTCTCCGACCTCGAAGGGGCACTATTAGGGATGGAATTCCAGCACCGGATCTACAAAGATACACACACATATATACGTACACATATATGCACGCTATACACATTGAGGAAAGAGAAAAGAAGAATGAACCTTCAGAAGTGCTGGCGTTTTGAGGATGATCATCTCATCTTTCTCCGGTGCCATGCTCAAGAGTGATGATCTAATCTAGATCTGGAAATAAATAGAACTTTTGGTCTTTACACATAGTTTCTTCAGCATTGAGGAGACCCCACCCGGAACCTACCCCTCCAGACAGTTAGGGACCATCTGTCATTTCACTTGAATTGACACTACCAATGTCGACATTTGAATAAAAGCTAACATTTTTGTCGTGTTTCTCGTATTCGTATTGTTTTCATATCATATCCAATAGCTTAACGGATCATGTCGTGTAATACTCGTTAAAGTAAACGGATAATATGATCCGACCCGAAATCAGCCCGTTAATATTATTAGGTAATATGACCTAACCTGTGACAGCCCGTCCCGAATTATTCTTACCGTAGGTGTGACATGACGATTTTGCCCTGGGTGGGTATTTATCATTTTGGGGTGATTATTTTGTGGTTTTGTTGGTTGCATCTGAACCACACACCCACCCACATCCACATCATCTCCTTCCCCCGTTTGTCTCTCTCTCTCTTACCTGGTACTTACCTGAGCATCCACCGTGTCAAACCACATTTATGCATACTATATTAATTCAATGATCTACGTATAAATCAATATGCATGGCATTTCTAAACATAATTTCATTTAAATCGATTTTCTGAGAAAAATCTCAAGTATATAGGCATATACGAAAACCAAAATCCCACTCACTGGTATGTGGAAGGGTCGTAACCCCCAAGCCTCGATTGACTACGCTCGTCCTAAGGATTGGTCTCATCTATATGTGAAACAACCATATAAACGTTAATTTAAAGGACATAAATGAAACTACCTAATAACTTCTCATACATTACTTAAATGGGGTGTTTGAATATACCAACGTGATCTACTAAACACCATGAACATCCCCATATTTTTAAAAAAACTTTTTGACCATCCACGCGCAGGCACGTGCTTGGCACACGTACGGAAACCTTAACGGCGTTAGGGAATATTTTGTCCAAAAATGGAATATACCGTTATATATACCTGACGTCGTTAGTATATTTCGTCAAAGTTGACAAAATTTTTCCAGTTTTGGACGAAATATTTTGTCAACTTTAACGGAATATACTAACGAAAAACCATGAAATTTGTAACAAAATTTTTCCAAAACTTAAACCACACAACGCCACAACCGTTCAAGGGTACTTCAGTAATTTCACGCCATCGATACAAATATTTCAAGACGGGCTGTGACATATTGTATTTTATAGTAGTTTAAAAAATTAAAATCATCAAAATAACTTTTTTGTTATCGTGTTGAAATAGGTTACCCGCATGTCACTCTCATATACACCTATTAAGGACTTGTTATTAACGAGTTATTATCATGACCCGATTAATTATCGTGTTGACCCAAAACTCATTATTTTCATTTTATTTACGAGTCGTGTTAATAAGTCGTGTAAGAAATTGTAAGATTTAATAAAAGCTAATGCGCAATGGTCACATCCGTCACAATCAACAAGTTTTCTTTCCAATTATTGTCCATTTCGTGCTCTCCTTCTCGTACAGTCACGTAAGTTTTCTTTGAATTTCTTCAAAAACTCTTTAACTATTCCACCAATGGAGTTTAGATGCTCACTGGATGTGGTTGTTTTAGAGTTACAAGCCCTCAGCAAACATTTTTAATTTCTGAAAAGGAAATGAACTAAAATTTCTTGGAGGGAAGGGAAAACTATTTTTATTCTTTTTCTAGTGTTGTTCAACCATAAATGATTTTCCATATTCAGTAAGGCGTCTGAAGAGATTTTTAACCCAGCACAATTGTTCATAGCAGTGACACTAAGAAGAGATTTTTTAGTGTGACGGGCACACAGGATGGTACACCATATATTACTATATAAATGGTGAGATATATGTGTTAAAAAGTTAATAACTTAAAAATAAAATTTCTTACCACTTACCTAAAAACACATGGTGTACCATCCGTATTCTCGTCACAATAAAAAATTTCTTGACAATGAGTTCTGTCACATCCCGGCCCGGGGCGGATCACTTCCTGGGATATTGTCCGCTTTGGGCTTACCATTCCCTTACGATTTTGTTTTTGGGAACTCACGAGCAACTTCCCAGTGGGTCACCCATCATGGGATTGCTCAAGCCTCCTTCTCGCTTAACTTCGGAGTTCCTACGGAACCCGAAGCTAGTGAGCTCCCAAAAGGCCTCGTGCTAGGTAAGGATGGGAATATACATTTAAGGATCACTCCCCTGGGCGATTTGGGATGTCACAATCCACCCCCCTTAGGGGCCCGATGTCCTCGTCGGCACATACGCGGCCAGGGTTAGGCTCTGATACCAAATTGTCACATCCCGGCCCGGGGCGGATCACTTCCCGGGCCCGCTCCACCACTGTAGCACGATATTGTCCGCTTTGGGTTTACCATTCCCTCACGGTTTTGTTTTTGGGAACTCACGAGCAACTTCCTAGTGGGTCACCCATCATGGAATTGCTCAAGCCCCCTTCTCGCTTAACTTCGGAGTTCCTACGGAACCCGAAGCCAGTGAGCTCCCAAAAAGCCTCGTGCTAGGTAGGGATGAGAATATACATTTAAGGATCACTCCCCTTGACGATGTGGGATGTCACAGTTCCATGGCATATGGAGCTTTTGAGAAAGAAGGATTTGGTGAACGATATCAAGAATGAAAAAGAAAATTAAAAAATAACAATAAGCAATAACGTATATAAGGACATTTGTACCGCCTCTCTAATAGAGGAACTGTCTCTCTAACAGAGTTAGTATCCACCAACATATACGGGTCACATCTCTATAAGAGAGATGAAACAAATATTTGGTAAGAGTAGCATTTTTGCTATTAAAAAAAGAAAATCAAAATCATTATTAAAACATTTTAGATTTTAATTTCCAACGTATATTTATTTAGGGAGCTTAAGATATAGAAACAAAAACTTTCACTATATTTCAAGAAACTCCACTAATTTTTAAACATGTCAAGGACAGACAAAAACATAAAAGCAACTAAAGCCTAGCCCAAAAACATGGAAATAATGTTTTAAAATATCAGACGTACCCATAAGGCTTTAAAGTTGTTAATAGAACCCAACCCTCATAACTCTAACAAAATTAATATATGTCATAAGCTCAACCCATCCTCGACTATTTTTGCAGAATCAGTTTTAAAACCATATGTAGAATTAGTTTGTATCCTTTATTACTAAAATCAGTTCAACCCGTTCTCAACAATTTTTGCAGAATCAGTTCAACTCATCATCGACTATTTTTGTAGAATTAGTTCAACCCGTCTTCAACCATTTTTGCAAAATTAGTTCAATCAGTCATCGATCATTTTTGCTGAATCAATTTAAACCATCCTCAACCTTTTTTGCCAACAAATTCAACAATTAGACAAACAAACAAACAAATTCGTACATACATGCGTACAAAGGAGTTTTGAGAACAACGAAGCAGTAGAAAGAATTGAGGAGGAGGAGGAGCAGGAGGAAGACGGCTCCAGGCTTTGATCATGTCTGCGAATTGAAAGTGAATCAGAAAGAGTTTATTTTAATGCTAACCAAGCTCTTTCCTTTTCTTGTCACGAATCAAATCCCTCGCGGCTTGCTTTTTCGAATTCAATTACAGCTTCAAGCTGGGCAAGGTGGGATACAAGTGAACTCCATCAATACCGTTCAGAGAATTGTAGGCTCTTATCAGCAAAGAATGGTAGGCGTTTGGGTCTTCAGAGAACTGTAGACCGACCCTATATAGTTATGATGAGGGACACACCCACTGCTTGTAGTTATTATTTGTATCTCGAGTATACTGTGCAAAAATAAAACGTATTCCTTCAGGATTTCAGCCTCTAATTAAGGGACACACTCGTCACATCAGCCTCAAAGCTAAGCATAAAATGTAAAACAAGAAAGTGTTATATTCTATATCTGCAGGAAAATGGCAACTCTTTTGGCCTTATAAGTCGGAAGTAAATCTCCAGGAAGGCAACTACAAAATTCGTAATTATTAGAGGCAGTTTTATTTGCATCTATTAACTATTATTAGGTGCAATTATTGTTAATTTCTGCCCCTAAATGCATACGTCTTTTATTGTTCCTTCATCCCTGCAGATATGGTAAAAGGAGATGAAAGAAAATAGATTTCCACAAAATAAAACTTCATTTGAAAATCCCAGATAAAAATGCAATATACGATAAAGTAATATTTAAATATAAACAGAACTCACAAAATAAGAAGAAACTTGTATTGTCACCCTTCTCAAAAGAATTGTACATTAAATCTGCAAAAGCAAAACAAACAAAAATAACAAAGAATGCCCAACCCCAAATTGAGCCGGTTCATAAGGTAATCTTCTAAAAATAAAACCTAGAAATCTTACGCCAAGTTAAAAGTATAAGAAAATCCATAAGTGAAGATTAGCACAAGGCCTTTACCTTAAAATTTCTTGAAATTTTTCAATCAATTCTACTTCGAATTCTTCAAATCTAGGCACTTTCCCCATTCTTAAATTTTGTCACTTAGTTTTTTAATCTCTGGAATATCACAATGAAGAAAGATAAAGGCGAAATAGAGAAGAAAAGATTACGAAGAAGGAAGAAATGAGAGAGAACACGAGTTCAAAAGGAAGAAGCTGTGCGCGTGTGTGCGCGTGGAATGTTGGAAATGAGATAAATAAGGGATGCCGGTGCATAGGTATCGGAGAATTAGGGTTTTGGGAGTTAATATCTTTTGATTTATCCACTAAACACATCCAAAATAAACGAAAAAAATATGTAAATACCTAACTAAAATTACTAAATTTCATTAAGTATATTAGAGGCCCATTTATTCGCCTCTAATATATGAAATTAATAGCAACAATTTTTATTCCGCCCCTATCACTTTAATTAGAGGCAAAATTATATATCCGCCCGTAAGGCAAATTAATAGAGATGAATCCTTATTTTCGCCCCTAAGCTACTGCCCCTAATAATCAATATTCTTGTAGTGGGGCCACCCTTTCCTATTTTGGTACATAAGATCATCTCTAATGGTTAGGCTAAAAACCAAATATTTTAACCCGAAAAATTTAGTTTTTAGCCCAGAAACAGTTTTTCTCCTCCAACCGTTCTAGCTTAAAATTT